GGGGAGCTGTTGCATTGTGGTAAACTGTGGTCAGTGACATGAGACAAAGTATATGTGAACTGCTGTATGGAGAGTGAATTTGCTCTGTAAATCTTCACCCAAATCACAATAAATAAATAATAATAATAATAAAGAAATTTAAAACTCATGCTTTGTGGATGCATTGGGAAAAATGAAGATAAAACTTTTTTTTTTTTTTTAAGAGAAAGCCAAGACCCAATTTCTGAGAATTATAATTGTCATGTGTTTATAATGAGTGCCTATAAGCTGATTGAAGAAACTTTAAAAACATTGATCAGTTGTGTGTTGAATTGTCTTCATGTTTTAAAGATTACAGATCTTCAGCATTTGAATGCTTAAGCATTTTATCCAGTTTTTTTTAGTTACTTGTTTAAATTTAATTTGGTTTTTATTTCATCTGTAACTTTTATTTATGTCATGAACATTCATATACAGTATTATTTGTCTTCACAGTCAGACTAAGACCATGCATGAGATTTGATTCATTTTTTCCTTAGTTTAGTGCGCTTAGCTCCCCCCACTTTGTTGGTTTAAAGGCAATAATTTGGTGTAATATTTGTTTTTGAGTTGTAAATTAAGTTGGAAACAAATGGATATTAATTTTAGGTCTATTTAAGACTAAATCTTAAAAGAGTACACAGTCACATGCATGCATGCACTGTGCTTCTTGGGAAAGCAGTTATAGCTATTCCAAAGTTGGAAACAAATGGATATTAATTTTAGGTCTATTTTAGACTAAATCTTAAAAGAGTACACAGTCACATACATGCATACACTGTGCTTCTTGGGAAAGCAGTTCTTTATAGCTATTCCAAAATTTAAAATGCCAGAAAATAAAATCATTCATACTACTGGAAATAAGGTGGTAAAAGACATAGCCATTTCCTCAGTGAATTAAGTATAGTCATGTGGGCTCTTAGGTAGCTTTGTATTGCTTGGAAACTTTGTAGTTGTTATAAGAATTTGGTTATTTAAATAAAGCAGAGGTCCCCACATGTTCCTTAGTCAAGAAGCATTTTAAAGTTTTATTTTATGTGCTCAAATCAAATGCAATCTAGCCTTAAATCTTTATATAAGATGAAGCAATTATTTGATCTAAGAAAATTTAATTTTCTATATACATCTCTAATATTTAATTCATAATTATTCCCACAATGTATTAATACATATTTAATTTTTTATTTTGTTGTGGTAAGAATATATATAACAAAACATTTGACAATTCAAGGATTTTTTTTTTTTTTAATAGTCTCCTTTCCTTTTTCTCAAAACTGTATGACTAATACCCAGAGGGAGCGAGTAGTTGAACCTGTGGTCACGGGACCATAGTCACAGGGGACATCAAGCTCAATTGACATAACATACTACACAAAACATTGTTACACCTCCTACTTTGGTGAGTAGTGACTGGGATCTTAAAAGCTTGCAAGCTGCCATCTAGATGCAACGATGGGTCTCTCCTCGTCCAGAGCAAAGAAGATTGAAGAAACCAAAACTTCATGGATACAATCAGTCCTAGTGACTGATACGCCATCCAATCTGCGGCCTATATGGCTTCGAGACCAGAAGAACTAGATGGTGCCTGGCTACCAATGTCAACCACTTGGAAGGGGATCTATATAGGAGATCCTGGATAGAGAGGGAGAACAACATGGACAAAACTCAAAATCATTTGGAGAAAAAAGAAAGGGAGGTTTGCTGGTCCGATAGAGCCTGGTGGAACCACTGAGACTATGGCCCCTAGCTGCTCGTCAGGTCTGGAATTGAACCTACACCTGTGGCTTCCAGCCAAGCAAAAGACAGGCATATGAGTTGAATATTTACCTGAGGTAGATGCACTCTGTGTTAGATTGGGTTCTCTAGAGAAACAAAAAACAGCAAAGCTTATATATTTATAAAAAGGTAGAGAAATTTATCTTAGGAAAATGGCTCACAAATGTATAGAAGCTGGCAAGTCCAAAGTCCCTGGAGGAAACGTCATGCTGGAGGAAGCCTTAGCTTCCACAACTGCAGGGGGCCGAGAAGCTCAAGGCTGGCAGGCAGTACACTGGCTATTGACTCCAATGAAAGACGAATCCAAGATCTCCAGGCCGAGCAGTGGGCTGCTCACTCAAGGAAAGTTGTAGGCAGCACACCAGAGTCCTGATCCACAGAAGAATGTCTGTCTTCCCAGGATGTCCCTGGATATCCTGAAAGCAGGCCACACCCCTAGGGAAACTCCCCTTGGGCAGATTGGCCACTCAGAACACAGTCATCCGATCCCATCATGGGAACAACCACATAGAATTGGGGTCCAGCCAAGTTGACACACAGCTCCAACTATCACACACTCCTTGGAGAGAACAATCATGGGAGAAAGAAGGGCTGCTTATGCACAGGGAGACAGCTCAGAGGGCAGGAGGGCATGAAGGGATGGACACTGGGAAGTGGTAATTATCAGGAGGAAGTGGGAGGGCAGCTGTTGCATTGTGGTAAATTGTGGTCAGTGTCATGAGACAAAGTATATGTGAACAGCTGTATGGAAAGTGAATTTGCTCTGTAAATTTTCACCCAAATCACAATTAAAAAAAACCGTATGAACTAAAGTTTTCATTTTAAACCCAGGAGAGTACAAACTTTAAAAAGAAAGAGTATTTGATCTTTTTCTCTTTCATTATTTGCTGTGTCACATTTGGAAAATTAATGATAAAAATTGCTCTTATGGGAAGGTGGGGATCTGGAAAAAATAGAGACACTTAAAAATAATTTGCTTGGTTATACTGCTGTGTGTAAGTATTGGGAATTCAGAAATGAGAGAATTTATCACTGCTTTTAATGTTATTTAAATGTTACTCTAGAACGATCATCTTTTTGCAATAGAACTTCCTTGCAGAGAAGACTTTCCTTTTTTCACTGCTTGTTTGTCCATGACATATATACTCACTGCCGATGAGTTGGTTCCGAGTAGTAGCTTTCAGAGAAGTAGATTGCCCAACCTTCCTTCCGAGGAGTAGCTGGTGGGTTTGAACTACCAGCCTTCTGGTTTCATCTAACAAATGTTTATTAAACATCTACTATATGTATCATATATATAGTAGAAAACATCTACTATATATATGATACATATAGTAGATGTTTAATAAACATTTGTTAGATGAATAAATGACTCTCAATAAATATCTGAACTTTTGGTTTTAGGTGCGATACCTAGAGGAAGAGAGACCTTTTGCAATTGAGCAAGTGACTGGAATGCTGTTGGCCAAACTTAAAGAGACTTCAGAAAATGCTTTGAAAAAACCAGTGGCTGACTGTGTGATTTCAGTAAGTTTTGTTTCAGTAGTGAATGCTATTCGATCATATTTTCCAGTGTGTTAATGTTACATTGAAATATTTTTCTTCCTCCTCTTTATTTTTAATGCTTTCTGCCCTTATCCAATAAGTAACCTAAAACCATTTTGACTTTTTTTTTTTTAAAATATTACTTTGTTTAGTTTAGGATTCAATTTCTGATAATGTCTATTGTGATGATGAATGAATCTTAAAAATCTCATGTTTCTCATTAGTTAATCACAATTACACCTGCCACTATCCCTGCTATCTTTCCAGGTAGCACTTAACTTCCCATCTTTAAGGGACTTAATATTTAATGGTGAAGGATGAAAATTTCCACTTGAGAATTTGAGATTGTATATATTTTGTATCAGAAAGAAATGATGTTACTTTAGGTTTCTTAGCAAAATATTTATGATTTACCCAATCTTACTCTTCACATTCTATTATAAGTTGGCAATTAGTTTTAAGGTATATATTATCACCTAAATATAAATGTATTTTTAACTATTAAACTCAACCTTGGAAGTTCAAGATTCCCATGTCATCAGAAAAAATAGAATCAGGAATTTAACTCATTGGTAAATTTAGTAATTATATATTTTCCTACGTATTTGGGATTTTAAAATGGGAGGAGTGTTTTGTTTTCTAGCCAATTATTAATAATTAAAATTTAGAGTTTGCCATCGACCAGGCAATGATCTCTGCATTTTATGTGTAGTAGCCCACTTAATCCTCAGAGCCACTTTATAAAGTACTATATTATTAACCTCAGTTTTATAGATTAGAAAACTGTGGCATAGAGAAGTTAAATAAGTTGCTCAAAATCACACAGTAAGTGGAAAAGCCAGAAATTAGACCCATGTAGTTTATTCCTGAGTCTCTGCTTATAACTCTTCCATTATACTGCTACTTAAAAGCATGTCAGAATGGTACAGATTTTTTTTTAAATGCATTTTAAATTAAAATCTTTTTTATTTAGTGTAGTGCCTAAGGCACTTGACTGCTAACCAGAAGGCTGGCGATTCAAACCCACTAGCCACTCCTTGGAAGGAAGGTTGGGCAACCTACTTCCGTAGTGATACCACCTCAGAAACCCAAGGAGGGATAACTGTGGGTCAGGTCTGACTCAATAGCACATAACAACAACAACATAATTGTTTTATTTTCAGTCAGAAATTAGTGTAAGAGCAGAGTGATATGAACTTCTTGGCTGTTATTAACTTTGTAGCCTCTGTGAGGGTATTTTATTCATTTTGTGCACCACTTCCCTGGGGGAGTGACTGGCAGGCAAGAACGGCCATCTGAGACCTCCCTGGGTCAAGGCAGAAGGCACTCCATATCAGCATACCAGTGACCTCACCACCATACCAGCGATCACCTCAAGGATCTACCTTCAGCACCTGATTTTCTCAGTAACTTGAGCCTGCTAGGTGCAAGTGGACACATCCAGAACTACTGAAACCCAAGCAGAGAGCCCACTGATGCTCCAGGAGGGTGGACTCACTACCCCCTCAGCAGGCCACTGAATAGGCTTGGGTCAGCTTGGTGGTACTGAGAGGTCTGCGCTAAACTTTTTCACTAAAATTGGGACCACAGATTGCTGACAGGCCCTTTCCTGAATCCACACAGCTGAAACCTAGTGCGTCTTTGGCGCAGCAGGTGGGTGGACCTAAAGACAAACTCCCGAGCCAGTCTCAGTCAGGGCGGGTTGGGCTGGTGTCACAGGCAGGCAGGGCTGGAGAGAAAAGCACCTGTGGCCGGTAGCAGAGCAGTGGGCGCACTTAAAGACAAACTTCCAAGCTGATCGCGATCAGGGTGGGTTGGACTGGCCCCAGAGACAGGTGGAGCCGGAGAGAGAAGCACCTGCAGCCAATCACAGAGCCGGAAAGTTGCCTTAGGTCGGCTTTTAGGCATGGAGGGGCCTCGGGAGCGGGGTTTTTGCATGTATCTGAGCCTGGCGGAGAATGGCAACCCCCTCACAACCTGAGTCTTCCCTGAAATTGAGCACGGGCCCTTATATAACAGTATGACGTCATCAGTAGCAGCCCGCCCAAAGCCCTAGAAACCACCCATAGCAACAGCAAGCTTTCCTTTTAACGCTCCCACCTCCTCCACCAATAACTTACCTCATCCAATAGAAGAAGAAACATTCAGCCTACATAAAACCTCCCGATTCAAACTCTAAACCCACTTTACAACAAACAGAAACCCATATCCACATTCTACACAGTGATTCCAAAATCACAAAACTGCAGAGCAACCCAGCATACCTGAGTTAATAATTAAACAAAATAAAATACACTAGCTTTACCTTTTCAAAATATTAAACCATAAAACCGAGACAAAACAAATCAACATGTAACCAACAGTTAAAGACAACTTCAAAATGTCTAGGAAACAACAAGCAACTGCAAATCAAACAAAAAAACAGGACAAGGCATTAGAAGCAAAACCACAACCAAAGGTCTCATTTTACATAGAGGAAGAGGAGGCAATAGAATTATCTGAGAAGGAATTTAGAAGATATATTTATAGAGCTATACAAGAGCCTAGGGAAACCCCAAACAGAAACAAGAAGAACACAGACAGTTCCCTGGAGGAACTCAAGAAAATCATTGAGGAACAGAACAGTAAGATTAATGCACAATCAGAACTCATACAAAAACAGCAGTTAGAAATGCAGAAGATGAGTATCAAAATGCAGAAGATGAGTACCAAAATGACAGAATTACACAACACAGTGGAAGCACAAAAGAACAGATTAGAACTGGCTGAAGAACACATATCCCAACTAGAAGACAAATCCCTGGACACTAACCTGTATGAAGAAAAATCAGAACAAAGATTCAAGAGAAATGAAAAGAACCTAAGAATTATATGCAATGACATGAGAAGAAGCAATATAAGACTCATTGGAATTCCAGAACAAGAGGAGGTGAAAAAGACCACCAAGGAAGTTGTGGAAGACCTCTAGCAGAAAACTTCCCCCGAAGCTATCATGAAGGAAGAAAAGGCATTTGTCCAAGAAGCTCATAGAACCCCACACAAGATGGGTCCCCAAAAAAAAACGCTGAGGCATATTATAATCAAACTTTCCAAAACCAAAGACAAAGAAAAAAATTTTAGAGCTGCTTGGGAAAAAAGAAATATAACTTATAATAATCAAACAGGCTGAGCTCCGATTACTCAGCAGAAACCATGCAGACACGAAGGCAGTGGAACGGTATGTATAAAACACTGAAGGAAAAGAACTTCCAACCAAGAATCCTGTATCCAGCCAAATTATCCACCAAATATGAGGGTGAAATCAAGGCATTCTTAGACAAACAGAAATTAAAGGATTTTGTGAAAACCAGACCAAACCTACAAGAAATGCTTAAGGAAATCCTTCCAATAGAGAATCCACACAGAGATCAACAAAACCAGGGTATGTGGCATCAACACTAAAACCAAATCAGAAATAGATACTCAAAATAAGACCATAAAACATTGTACCTTAAAAACCAAGGAGGTCAATCAGCACACAGCAACTAACCTATCAGAGGGAATAAAACTTCTAGGTACAGACCCTCAAATGGAGAGGAAAACAGGACAATGTCTTCACAGTACACACTGTTCTAAAAATGTAGAGACAAGAACATACTCCAAGGTAACCACAGAGAAAAGTAACAATTCTTCTAAGCAAATCCTGAAGGAAGAAAAACATATGGGTTTAATAAGCACAAAACCAACTATAAAGAAGAAAAGAGGGAAAGGATTAGCCAACAAACTGAACTCGGCACAGAAAAATATAAGGACCAATGACACACCAACAACATGACAAAAAACACAATAGAATGACAGCAATCAATTCATACCTATTACTAATTACTCTCAATGTGAATGGACTAAATGCATCTATCAAGAGAAAGAGAGTGGCAGACTGCATAAGAAAAGAAGACCCATCGATATGCTGCCTACAAGAGACCCATCTTAGACACAAATATAAGAACAAATTAAGAGTTAAGGGATGGAAAAGAATATACTAAGCCAATGGAAACCAAAAAAGGGTAGGAGTAGCAATGTTGATTTCTGATAAAATAGACATTAAGGTGAAAAACATCATAAGAGATAAAGAGGGACATCATATGATGCTGAAAGGGTCAATTGACAAGACGTTACAATAATATTTATGCACCCAATGAAAGTGCTGCAAAATACATGAAGCAAATATTAACTGAATTAAAAGGGATAATAGACAGCTCTACGATTAGTAGTAGAAGACTTTAACACACCACTTTCAAGGAGAGACAGCTCAACTGGAAAAAAACTCAACAAGGATACAGAACAGCTCAACAGTATAGTCAACCAACTAGACCTCATAGACATATACAGAGCATTTCACCCAACAAAAATACAATTCACATTCTTTTCCAGTGCACATGGATCCTTCTCCAGAACAGACCATATGCTAGGACATAAAACAAGCCTCAATAAATTCAAAAGCACTGAAATACTGCAAAGCATCTTCTCAGACCACAATGCTATAAAACTAGAAATTAATAATAGGAAGAGCAAGGAAAAAGCACCAAACATATGGAAGCTGAACAACTCACTGCTCAAGAACTACTGGGTAATAGAACAGATAAAATCTGAAATAAAAAAATTCCAAGAAACAAATGAGAATGAAGATACATCATACCAAAACCTATGGGACACAGAAAAAGCAGTACTCAGAGGACAGTTTATAGTACTAAATGCATACATCAAAAAAGAGGAAGGAAACAAAATCAGTACTCTAACTCATCATCTCCAACAACTAGAAATAGAACAACAAAAGAATCCTACAGTATCTAGAAGCAAGGAAATAATAAAGATCAGAGCAGAAATAAATGAAACAGAAAACAAAAAAATCATAGCGAAAATCAACAAAACAAAGAGCTGATTCTTCAAAAAGATTAATAAAATTGATATTTTATTGGCAGACCTAACAAAAGAAAAGATCGAAATCACAAGAATTGTTAACGAAAATGGTGTCATCACAACAGAACCATCTCAAATAAAAAAGATACTGACAATATTATGAAAAACTGTATACCAATATATTTGAGAACCTGGAAGAAATGGACAAGTTTCTAGAATCATAAGACCTACCTAAACTATCCCACTCAGAGATAGAAAGCTTAAACAACCCCATAACAAGGGAAGAAATTGAACAGATCATTAAAAGAATTTCCCACAAAGAAAAGCCCTGGCCCTGATGGTTTCACTGGAGAATTCTATCAAATATTCAGAGAAGAGATGACAACTATGCTACTCAAGCTATTCCAGAACATAGAAAAAAATTGAATACTCCCAAACTCATTTTATGAAGCAAGCATAACACTAATACCAAAACCAGGGAAAGAAACCATTATAAAGGAAAACTACAGACCAATATCACTCATGAACATAGACCCAAAAATCTTTAACAGAATCCAACAACATATCAAAAAATTAACATACCCGGACCAAGTGGGATTCATACCAGGTTTACAAGGGTGGTTCAACATCAGAAAATCAATCAACGTAATCCCCCACATAAACAAAACAAAGGAAAAAGAACCATATGATTATATCAATTGATGCAGAAAAGGCATTTGATAAAATCCAACATCCATTCCAGTTTAGAGCTCTCAGCAAAATAGGGATAGAAGGGAAATTCCTCAACATAATAAAGGGAATATATACAAAACCAATAGCTAACATCATTATTAATGGAGAAAGATTTAAGGCATTCCCCTTACGAACAGGAACCAGACAGGGATGCCATCTATCACCACTTCTATTTAACATTGTATTGGAAGTCCTGGCCAGCGCAATAAGGCAAGAAAGAGAAATAAAGGACACAAATTGGCAAAGAGGAATTAAAACTGTCTCTATTTGCGGATATGATCCTGTACATAGAAAACCCAAAGGACTCATAAAAAAAACTACTGAAACTAATAGAGAGGTTCAGCAAAGTGGCAGGATACAAGATCAATACACAAAACTCAGTTGGATTTCTCTACACCAGCGTGGAGTCCTCTGAAAAAGAAATAAGGGAAACAATACCATTTACTATAGCTACGAAAACAATAAAATATCTAGGAATAAACCTTACCAGAGATAAAAAAGACCTATACAGAGAAAACTATAAAACACTGCTGCAAGAGACAACGAGGACACTACATAAATGGAAGAACCTACCTTGTTCAGGGATAGGTAGACTAAACATTGTGAAAATGTCAATACTACCTAAAGCAATCTGTACATTTAACGCAAACCTGATCCACGTTTCAACAAAATTATTTAAGGACATGGAAAAACTAATTACAATTTCATATGGAAAGGAAAAAGACCTCGAATAAGCAGAGCACTTCTCAAGAAGAAAAACAAAGTGGGAGGTCTCACACTTCCAGATCTTAAGAACTGCTATGCAGCCACAGTAGTCAAAACAGCATGGTATTGGTACAATGATAGACAGATAGACCAATGGAACAGAATCAAAAGTCCAGATATAGATCCATCCATCTATGGACAACTGATCTTTGACAAAGGTCCAAAACCCATTAAATGGGGAAGAGACAGCCTCTTTAACAAATGGTGCTGGCAAAACTGGATATCCACCTGTAGAAAAATGAAACAAGACCCATACCTCACTGCATACACAAAAACGACCTCACGCTGGATCAAAGGCTTAAATGTAAAACTCAAAACTATACATCAAAGGTAAAATAGGGGCAAATCTGGGAGCCCTAATTTACAGCATAAATAGACTGACAGGCATAACCCAGAATGTGCAGGAGATAGAAGAGAAGCTAGATAACTGGGACCTCTTAAAAATTAAATTCTTGTGTGCCTTGAAAGATTTCGTCAATAGGGTAAAAAGAGAACTCAAAGATTGGGAGAAAATATTTACCTATGACGTATCTGATAAAGAACTTATCTCCAAAATCTATAGAAAACTTCAACACCTCAACACTAAAAAGACAGATAACCCAATTCACGAATGGGCAAAAGACTTGAACATACACTTCACCAAAGAAGATACACTGGCAGCCAACACACATGAGAAATTGCTCACGATCATTAATCATTAGAGAGATGCAGATCAAAGCAATAGTGAGATATCATCTCACCCCAACAATAATAGCAAAGTTCAATAGATCAGAAAGTAACAAATGCTGGCGAGGTTGTGGAGAGATTGGAACTCTTGTACACTGCTGGTGGGATTGTAAAATGGTACAACCATTGTGGCAAACAGTATGATGTTTCCTTAAAAAACTAAAAATAGAAGTACCATTTGACCCAGCAATATATTCTAGGAATATATCCTAAAGAGGTGAGAGATAGTACACGAACAGACATATGTACACCTATGTTCATCGCAGCACAATTCACCATAGTAAGGAGATGGAAACAATGTAAATGCCCATCAACGATGAGTGGATAACCAAATATGATATATCCACACAGTGGAATACTATGCCACATTAAAGAACAATGAGGGATACACGAATCACCTCACAACGTGGATGAGCCTGGAGGACATTATGCTGAGTGAAATAAGTCAATCGCAGAAAGACAAGTACTGTATGAGCCCATTAATTGTAAAAAGACAGAGAAGAGTTTGCTGGGGAAAGGGAACTCACCTAGTAGGTTGCCGGGATGGGGAGGGAAAAGGAGGGATTAATTTCGGGCTAGTTGGGGCCTACACGCTGACATGGGTAAGGGGAGGGATACACGGGAAGGATATATGACCACCATGATAACATTAGGAAATAGGAGGACACCAAATTATGCACACAAGAGGTAGATGACAGATGCTGATACCAACCAGTGTGTCCACAATACCACATTGCCATTAACACCAAACACTAGGCTATACAGATAAACACATAAACACCTGAGATTATCAGATGGGGTCAGAGAACAGAAGTATACTCTAGACCAAGGATAGATTCAGCTGAAGCTAATCTTGCGCAGACACCAGTGAAACAAAATACATGTAGTCCTTAAAGAAACAATAGAAGACAGACACAGAGTAATCCCTCACAGACAACCAGACACTATGGGAGAGAGATCCAATAGATCTACTGCCTCAGGACCATAGTACTGGGGGACACCAGACTCAACTGGCACAACAAAATACATAAAAAGCGTTGCTCCACATCCTACATTGGTTGTATAGTGACTGGTGTCTTAAAAGCTTTCAAACAGCCATCTAAGATGTAGCTAACAGTCTCCTAGTGTCAGAAGTGAAGAACAACAACAACAACAACAAAAGGGCATTTAGAAGCAATCAGCCCTAGGACACGATGGCCTTCAAGACCAGAAGCACTAGATTGTGCCCGGCTACCAATGACAACCACTCGGGAAAGGATCAAATCTGGAGATCCTGAATAGAGTGGTAGGGAAAACGTGGAACAAAATCCAAAAATTCAATAATGACCAGAATTACTGGTCAGATAAAATCTGGTGAGACTCCCAATACTATGGCCCTGGAATACATTCTGCATCTGGAATAAAACTCACCCCCAGGGGTGGGCTCTCAGCTCAATAGTTAACAAGATGTACATGCAGACCACTCAGCTCAGGATGATGCACCCACATATTCTATGGTAATACATTCCTTAGAGCAATAGACCATGGGACACCAGAGGACCAACATTCAAACTGAGGAAATGCAGGACAAACAGGAGTCCATAAATATGAGGCGCACAGGGGGGAGGGTTAGAGGGTAGGAAGGGGAGTAGACTGGGTTAGGGTTGGACATGGCGAATGGGGAATGAAACTAAATGTACATGTTACATTGAATGTAAAACAAGCTCTTCAAATAAAAAATTATTTAAAAAATCTTAAGTTTTAAACCTGAGTTGTTATTTTTTTAATAAAAAAAATTTAGTTATTTATGATTAAAAAAGAAATACATACTCATCATAAGTCTCCTGCAATACAATTTTCCTTCCTTTGGAAAGATAACCGTTGTCAAAAGCTGAAATTGTAGAATCATTGTATATACATTAAAAAAAAAAGAACTCATTGCCATCCAGTCAGTTCTGACTCACGGTGACCCCTCCTTGGGTTTCCGAGGTGATATCTCTACAGAAATAGATTGCCCGATCTTCCTTCCAGGGAGTGGCTGATGGGTTTTTTTTGGTTAGCAGTCAAATGCCTTAGGCACTCTCCCACCAGAGCTCCTTTAACAATACCATACAAAAATGAAATCATGGTTATTATATACCTTTTTTAAAATAATGCAGTTCCATGACAAGTCAGTTTTACCTGATCCTTCCATCAACTATGTAGAATTCTATTATATAGATATACTGTAATATATTTAACCAATCTTAATTTAACACTTTGAGGTTTTCAATTTTTCATTATCAGATGAACATAAATATTTTTTAATATAGTAGATCAACACAGGAAGGTTTTAGATTAACAAACTTTTGAAATTCTCCATATTATTTTGTATTATTAATTACCTCAAATTAGTGTTATGCTATCAGGTCAAATCTTTATGGTGTAGAAATTATCAGACTTTAAAAATAAACCTAGTGCTCTGTATGTTTTTAATGACAAAAAATAAATTTAAAGAAAAAGATACAGTATTTTTCCTTATTTAATTAGATCACCACTGAACATACTGTATAGTGTGATTATTTTACAATTTTCAATTGATGAAATGTTGAAGTAAAGTATATTACATCAAACTAATACATTTAATGTTTTTAAATACCAGGTTCCTAGCTTTTTCACTGATGCTGAGAGAAGATCTGTGATGGCTGCAGCGCAGGTTGCAGGCTTAAATTGTTTAAGGCTAATGAATGAAACTACTGCAGGTAAGCATTTTGCAATTTGAAAAGCACCTTTCAGAAAAATACCTTTATACCTGTTTGTTTAATTAACACAGATCATTTTTTTAAACTTTATTATGTACTGATTATTGTAATGTTATCATTTTGGAGTATAATATTTTGTCAGAGATTAAATATCTTATTTGCTATGCTATTAGTTGCCTGTGAGTTCATTCCAACTCATGGTGACCATTCCATATGTGCAGAGTACAACTGCTCCGTAGATTTTTCAAGGCTGTAACCTTTCTGAAGCAGATTGTCAAGGCTGTCTTCTGAGGTGCATCTAAGTGGCTGGTACTTGAGCACTTAACAGATTGTACCAGCCAGGGACTTTACTTGCTATAAGAATGGCTGATATTACAGAGTTCTAGATGGTTAGGAAAAAAATAAAGTGAAAACATTAACCAAATTATGAAAAGTTAAATTACTGTGAAATTGATGATTAATGGTTTATATTACTGCACCTTATATTATAAGTACAGTGTCAAAGTGACTTCTTGTTTTCTAAGTGACTGCTGTTAAAATTAACCTAATTCTTTGATTTTACACAGTTGCACTCGCGTATGGGATTTACAAACAAGATCTTCCCCCTTTAGATGAAAAACCAAGAAATGTAGTATTTATTGATATGGGACATTCTGCCTACCAGGTCTCAGTCTGTGCTTTTAACAAAGGAAAACTTAAGGTAATTCAGTATATGATTTGCTATATTTAAATATAATCTTTAATTGCATGGACTATATGTTGTTGTTAGATACCAACTTATGGTGACCTTAACATACAACAAAATAAAGCATAATGAAACCTACTAGCCACTCTGCGGAAGGAAGATGGGGCATTCTCCTTCTGTAAAGATTTACTACCTCGGGAACCCAGTGGGGGTCACTATGAATTGGAATCAACTCGATGGCAGTGAATTTGGTTTGGAATCTTACGTTATTCTCACAGTCGCCAGTATGTTTGAATCCTCTGTGACAGCTGTTCCCTTCACCTGTCACTGAGGGTCTCTCACATCCTCATTGGCCCTCTACTTCACCAAACATGATGTCCTTTTCTAGTGACTGATGATAACATGTCCAAAGCAAGCAAGTTAGACAGTGTTCTGTTGTGTTCAGTGGCCAATTTTTAGAAGTAGATTAACCAGCCCGTTCTCCTAGTCTGCCTTCATCTGGAATCTCTGCTGAAGCCTTTCTACCATGGGTGACCCTGCTGATACTTGAAATACCCATGGCATAGCTTCTAGCATCATCCTCTCTATTGCCATCGAGTCAGTTCCAACTTATAGCGACCCTGTAGCAACATGCAAACCACCACATTGTGATGCACTGATAGATGGATGGTAGATAGACTGCATACCACCAGTCTAAACCCATTGCCAACAAGTTGATGCCAAGTCATAGCAACCGTGTAGGGCAGAGTAGAACCGCCCCATAGGGTTTCTAAGACTGTAATCTTTATGGACGCAAACTGACACATCTTTCTCCCACATAGTGGCTGGTAGGTTGAAACCGCTGACATTTCAAATAGCAGCTGGGCACTTAACCATTGTACCACCAGAAGCACAAAGATGTAAGTAACACCACACAGTAGAAATATGTTAGAAAATCCTCTCTGTAAGTGTACTTATAGATAAATAATTTATGCCCCTCATTACTTCCTCAATTAACACCTCAACAAAACAACAATAATAAAACAGGTAACACATTATACCACCTACTATGTTTCTGGTATTCCAAATATTTAGAATAGACTGGATAGACTATCAAGAGAACCTTAATGCCTAGGTAGGAGCCCCAATTAAAGTGCTCAGCCACTGACCGGTTCACACCAACCAGCGCATTCGTCAGGAGAAAGATGCTTCCATGAAGATTGCAGCCTTCAAAACTTGATGAGGGCAGTTCTGCTCTGTATTGTAGGGTTGCTGTGAGTTGGAATCTGTTCATTGGCAGTGCCTGGGTTTGACCTGGCTTTGCCATTTAAAAACTGTGACCTTGAAAATTTCCTTAAATTTCAGTTTCCTCATCTCAAGATATCAGTAACTATCTCATAGAATTTTTGAGGATAAAATGAGTTAGTGTTTTAAAAATATTTGGAATACCAGAATCATAATAAGTGCTATAAAGTGTTACCTGTTTTATTGTTGTTTTTTTGAGATGTTAATTAAGGCAGCAATGGGGGACATGAATTATTTATCTATAAATATACTTAGAGAAAAGATTTTCTAACATTTCTACTGTATGGTGTTACTTATTTCTATGTGCTTTTTATTTGTCTGTTTTTGGCTTTGTATTCATTTTTACACTGAGTATCTTGTCCAGACTGATACTCTTCGTTATGCATATGAATGAGAAGAATTTACTTAGAGGATCAAATGCTTTGGGTTATGTCACACCTTATAGAGCCTTTTGTCTTGCAGCTTATATTACTATAACCACCTCCTTGTAATCACAAAATTAGAAGGAAATAACTCATACTGAATAGAATAGTTCACTTTATAAACTAGTTTAATCCTTGACATTTAGCCTTAAATTTTTACCAAGTGCTTAACCACTACACCACCAGGACTCCTTAACTAATTTAGTAGATAACTTAGAGTAGTGATCTCTAATTTTTACATCATAGACCACTTTGAAAGTCTGAAAAAGGACATGACCCTTCTCCCCAGAAGAATACATTTGCACTATTCATATACCACTACAATTTTGCATTTAAATTCTGCTAATACTGGACCTTGTGAAAAAAAAATCCATGGAATTACCATATTAGTCTAGTGTAACATCCAAATCAGATTACACTCACATCCTACTATGATGTTTACTACCATTCCACTCCCTCCTTAAGAAAATAATCTGATAAACCACACCAACAGTGAGATTCTTATTTTAGGAGCAACTATAATAGGTAGTCATTTGTGTTCTCTACCTTAGAGAAAAAGACTAGATGTGTCTTGGTCCTATGTTTTCAATAACTGTAGTGTTGAAGATTTTTTACTTGTTTATTCCTCTTCTACCAGGCTGCTTGCTGGAAGCCTATTGTTCAACAAATTTATTATGTTAAGTTCTTGTCCTTCCTTTTCTCTTTTTTTCTGTTTTCTTTTTTGGCCTCTCATGTATCCTTTTGTTTATTCTATGGTTTTATGAAAATAGGCTGACGTTTTTAAAAATAATAGAAAGTTTAATTACTGAGTAATAAATTGACCTATTATACTATGTCATATATAATCTTTGGATCTGCTTTTCTGGATGCTTTGTTCTTTTTTTTGCTTACAGCTGTTTCTTGTCTCTTTGAATTTGGGTTTTGATCTATCTACTACTCAGTGCTTAGGAGCTCTGGTAACATAGTGCCTAAGGCACTTGACTGCTAACCAGAAGGCTGGCGGTTCAAACCCACCAGCCACCCCTCGGAAGGAAGGTTGGGCAATCTACTTCGATAGTGATACTGCCTTGGAAACCCAAGGAGGGATGGCTATGAGTCGGGTCCGACTCGATGGCACATAACAACAACAACACTACTCAGTGCTAGTCTAAAACCAAAACATGTAAAATAAGATTACTGTAAATCATTTCAGAATTACAATTATTCTTTTAATTATAACTTATGGATCTGTAACTGTAAAGCACATAATTAAGAGTGGGGAAATACGTTGGCTAAATAGAAATGATAATTTTTGTCTAATCTCAGATTTGGCATCCTGTGATTTGACAGATTCTTTAGCTTCATTTGATTATAATGTTCAAGGCTTTTTTTATTTCTTTTTGAAAGCATCTGTATTTCTGAAAATTCACTTCTCTCCCTCCCTCCGCGCAATTAAATAGGTCTTGGCTACTACCTTCGATCCATATTTGGGTGGCAGAAACTTTGATGAGGCTTTAGTAGACTACTTCTGTGATGAGTTCAAGACCAAATATAAGATAAACGTGAAAGAAAATTCTCGGGCATTGTTGCGCTTATATCAGGAATGTGAGAAACTAAAGAAGCTAATGAGTGCAAATGCATCAGATCTTCCATTGAACATTGAGTGTTTCATGAATGACCTTGATGTTTCTAGTAAAATGAACAGGTACTTCATATGTTTTCAGTTTGAGAAGTATGTGCTTATTTTATAATGTGTATATTATGTCTTACTTTCCCCCCCCCCTTTTAAATTCTGTTACTTTAGAAGATAAGCTGTATTTTTAACCCAAAATAATGAATTTCATTTTTTCCACAGGGCTCACTTTGAACAGTTATGTGCTTCCCTCTTGGTCAGAGTTGAACCACCTTTAAAAGCAGTAATGGAGCAAGCTAGTAAGTAGAAATTACCATCAAAACTGAACCATGGTGTTATTCACTTCACTGATAAATATATAGAAGATTTTAAGATGAAAGTAAAGTAGAAGTGGGGACCTGATTGCTTTTTGTTAAGATTTTTGTGAGGGATTTATGAGGTGGAAGTATATTTCTGGATTGAGGTTCTGAAGAGTACCTTGAAAGCCCATGGTGTGCTTTGTCCTTATTGTCATTCCATCATCTGGACCGGATGTAGTGCCTATCACATACATCATATATATACATATTAAATTTGCCTCTTTCCAAAATTTTCATCTTTTTACATTTTATTCTAAACAAAAAAAATACTGATCCATCTTTTTAAAAAGTACTTTCCAAAGCCTACTATTCATAGTTTATTAAAGACTATTTCATTTTCCTCAATTATAACATCTTCTTTTCTAGATTTACAACGTGAAGATATAAGTAGTATAGAAATTGTAGGAGGAGCAACACGAATTCCTGCAGTAAAGGAACAAATCACTAAATTTTTTCTTAAAGACATAAGTACCACATTAAATGCAGACGAAGCTGTTGCAAGAGGATGTGCATTACAGGTATGATTGTTATCCTTATTTTTTAGAATGTTTATTTTGCCAAAAATACAGTGATAGATCTAATGCAGAAACCAAGCCAAACCAATTGCTGTCAAGTTGATTGTGACTCATAGAACCCTTTAATATTATCTGTTTCAAATCCCTATCTGTAGGCCAAACAGAGTACATTGAAGTTATTCCTGATAAATAAATGTCATGTCTTTCCTGTTTATATTATTAAGTTATATAATAGGACCATATATCTGTAACTGTACTGAAGAAACATATTCTATGAATGTTTACAATTATGCCCATTTAAAATTCATTTTTTATTACATTACTTTTTGTTAGGTTACAGAAGAACATTCTGGTCCTTTCTAATTTTAACTAGTTCTTAGAAAAAATCAGTAATTTTTAAAATGTAACAGTTTTAAGGATTAAAATTTAAAATTTAATTTAATCAGCATGTCGTTTGTATTTGTTGGTTTCAATGTGATATACATCTTATTTTCAGTGTGCGATTCTGTCACCAGCATTTAAAGTGCGTGAATTTTCCATAACAGACCTTGTCCCTTATTCAATCACATTAAGGTGGAAGACCTCTTTTGAAGATGGAACTGGGTAAGTTACCTTTTAAACCTTGGTTAGGGCTTGCCATAAATCTTGAACCATTTGAACCTACTTTTCTAAATTAGAGGAATTTACACTTCTCAGAAGCACTGTTTTTAAAAATGAGGATGTAGAAATGGTATATAATATTCTATAAACCATGATGGACATAGTTTTTAGATATTACAAAATTAAAATAGATATTCAAAGAAAATGACTGGACAGATAATATACCTGACTGAGGTCTTAAGGTTTGTATATTTCTATACTGTGATTTTCATTTGAAAATAAGTATTTTAATTAAAAAAGTGCACACTTGGATATTCAAAGAAAATGACTGGACAGATATACACCTAACTAAGGCCTTAAGGTATGTGTATTTCTATATGGTGATTTTCATTTGAAAATAAGCAAGTATGTACCTTTCTAATACATACAAGATCATCTGTATCTCCAGTACAACTTGATTTTTAAATGTATTTATATTCTTTCCATGTCAGCAATTGTATGTACCGTAATTTAACCAATACACTATTAGATCATAATTTTGCTATTTCAAGCAATACTATTAGGAATGTATTTGTGTACATCTCCTGGTTCATTTCTGTTCAGTGTTTCTGTAAGATAACTATATAGAAGTGTTGAGCCAAAGAATCTACATTTTTTTTTCACACTAATAACTGCCAAATTATTTACTAAAAATAATATCAATTATATTCTTACTAACATTGCATGTAAAGGAGCTCTGGTGGTGTAGTGCTTAAAGCATTTGGCTGCTGCCCAAAAGGTCAGTGGTTCAAACCAGCCAGGCACTCTGCGGAAGAAAGATGAAGCAGTCTGCTTCTGTGAAGATTAATAGCCTTGGAAACCGAATGGGAGTTGCTATGAATGGGAGTTGGAATCAACTCAATGGCAGTGAATTTGAGTCAGCATTGCATGTGATTTCATGTTTTACTCATCTCCTTTCTGGTAATAAAAGTTAGTACTTTGTTATTAGAATTTCCGAATATTATGAGCTAAATTCTGTTCATGTTTTTATTGACATTTACATTTTCTTTCCATGAATTGTCCTGATTTTAAGTGGCTTGTTTTCCTTCCAAAATCAAGATTTATGTCTAAACTATTTGCCTACATTTCAAAAGCATGACTTGTACAATGAAGTAAGACTGTATTTAGCTTTTGAAGATGCTTTTAAAATGTTGTTTGTCTTCTATACATAGACACTCCAAGACATTTAAATTTTTGTACAAGTTTAAAAAATAAGTATTATCAATCTTATCCAAATGTCTTGCAGAGAGCATTTAAATGGCACATTTTCATATTAATTTTGAGGCAAGAAGTATTACTCTTTAAAGTTTATTTTCAGTTAAGAGTTAGAAGTGATCCAGAAAACAATTGTAAGAAAACATTCTGGGGGCTAAATTGAAAAGTAAGTGTATTCTGGTGACTGCAGTGAGAAAGTAGAAGGTATTGGTTGGTTCTTGAAAGCTAGAGTAGAGGAAGAGGTTAGTGAATGTGAAATTTTCATACCTTGCATAAAACTAGAATGTTCAGATGTTTCTTGGACTGTTGTTATTTTTGAACCTTTCTACAAGTTTAAAGCTATTTCTAAATAAAAGGGAGGGCTGCATGTGACAAATATTTTGAAAGCCAGTGGATGAAATTTGGCCCTCAGATGTGAGCAATAAATAATTCCTATTATGTATCTATTCTCAGGTAATTTGTTTTTCTCTTTTTAGTTGTATTGAATAGTCTGTTACTATAGTAAACAATCTGAAATCTTTGAGCCATCAGTCTGTCAAAAATGAATGTTTGTAGCAAAGCAAATATTTTTTTCCTTTACATTTGTGCATGAAAGTCTTTACAGTTTCTGCTTTATGAATTAATGAGATGATGTGTAATTAGATTCATAAGCAACTTTCTACTTATTTGTAAATGAGTGTTTTTCCCATCCCATTTTAGGGACTGTGAAGTATTCTGTAAGAACCATCCTGCCCCATTCTCAAAAGTTATTACTTTCCACAAGAAGGAGCCATTTGAACTAGAAGCATTTTATACTAATTCACATGAAGTGCCTTATCCTGATCCAAGAATTGGTGAGAATACTCAAGAGAATAGTTACCATAAATGTTTGGCCTTTTATAAATAATATTTTAAAATTAGAATCAAAGAAACAAGTAAATTGTCATCTCAGCTCTGCTAACAGGATTTTTAAAGATTTTCAAATGTTTTTCTAAACTAGCATGTTTTAGTGCTCAGTGTTTATTTTTAATTCATTCTGATTTCTTTATTTGAAATGCTCTGTGACTGGCCTGAAAGGTTTATGTGATGATTACTTTTTATGGGAAAATAGTCAATAAATTAAAATCATGGTATAAGAGCAGCTATATATTCTGATTCTAAGCTTAAATTCATTGTCACAAACTAGAATCAGTATCATTTGATAAATAGGAAAATGAGAATAAGAGACTATAAATATCTCTTTTAACTGAGTATAAAGCAAAGTATAATTTTATAACATTAAAAAGAGAAGGCATAATTTTTTAAATACTGAATATTTCTGTATATACTGCTTTATTGATAGACTAAAAAGGGAATGATATTCCAAGGACATTTAAGACAATAGAAATAAATTATTGAAAGTCAACCAGATTTCTTATTCTACCCAGTTTTACTGTTTAGTATTCTGTCTTTACTGTGGATATTCAGATTAAGATTCAATTAAAGAAATAAAACATTAATAGATTTCTTAAAGTAGAAAATTGGTGTGGTATATACAAGTATTAGTGACATGATAACCTAACAATTTTGCTAAGGAAAAAATCTAGAAAATATTTGAAATTGCTTTTCTTATGAATTATCAAGATGATTATGATTTGGAAAGCTCATAGCAAAAAGGTATTATCTGTTTGGTTTTCACAGAGCAATTGAATTGTTTATTTTGGTTTTAGAATAGTAATATTCTAAAATATTCTGCTTAAAAGGTGTGTTTCCTTTGAGTCATAATTGTCCTTGGTTAAAATCCCAACTCTTTTATTCCCAGCGTTGATGATTTTGGGCAGTTTACTTAACTCTTCTGAGTCAGTATTATGAAGATATTTAAAAAATAAATCTGGAATAAGTACCTATGGTTATCAACTAGGATATGGTCTTAAGTATATGGTTATTTTCCCAGTTTCTGAAGCATGGTAATGAAATTATTGAATGAATTGATTGGATTAATCAGTGTCACACTCATGTACTAATTAAAGCTCTTACCTTTTTTCTTAAGGGAGCTTCACTATTCAGAATGTTTTTCCACAGTCTGATGGTGATAGTTCCAAAGTGAAGGTAAAAGTTCGTGTTAACATCCACGGAATCTTCAGTGTGGCTAGTGCTTCAGTAATTGAAAAGCAAAATTTGGAAGCAGATCACAGTGACGCTACCATGGAGACAGAAACTTCATTTAAGAATGAATGCAAAGATGATATGGTATGTAGAGATCCTATTTTTAATATATATTGTTGTTAGCAACCATCAAATACGCTGTGCTGACCCCATATACAACTGAGTGAAACACTGCCTTGTCCTGCACCATCCCCATAATTGGTTATAGATCACACTACTGTGATCCATAGGGCTTTCAGTAGCTGATTTTCAGAAGTATATCAACACGCCTTTTTTCCTAGTCCATCTTAGTCTGAAAGTTCTGCTGAAACCTGTTCAACATCATAGCAATAAGCATGCTGACAGATGGGTGGTAACAGCACAGGAGGTGCATTGGCCAGGAATCAAACCTGGGTCTCCTTTATAGGCGAGAGATCCACCACTGACCAGCAGTACCCCCATGTTTTTTAAAATACTAAAATTATTTAAAATAAAATAATACCTGGTACTTTAGTAGTTGGAAATATTAATGTCTAAGGTTCTATTCAGAATTCAAGCTGAAGGAATTGCTATACACCTTTTATTTTTTCTTTTTATAAACGCACCAATGAATATTTCTATTTTAGAAGCTCTGCATCTTTCTCACTGTAATACACTTTTCAGGGGCATGAGCATCTTCTATAACATTATAGAGAGCATGTGTATATGTGTGGAATGATCTTTCATTAAGTTCTTAATTTCCAGTGTAAACATGTATTTTATTATGTGCTGGCTTTTTAGTTTACAGTTAAAACCAATTGACAATGATAAATTTTGAGTTATACAATAACATTTTTAGATCAAAAACAAAAAAAAGAAAATTTTCAGGTTTTTAGTGAGCAGTTGTGGCAATTAAAAAAAGGTATGTGCTATACATTCAATAAATAACATTAAAATACGTATTTTTGACAGTTTGTTTCTTTTTGAAAGAGTTACATGACCTTAATACTGAATTTACTCTTGGTGTACTATAGATGAAGGAACTCTGGTGGCATGGTGGTTAAAGCATTCGGCTGCAAACCAAAAGGTCGGTGGTTCAAACCTACCAGCCACTCCACAGGAAAAAGATTAGGCACTCTGTGTCCATAAAGATTTACAGCCTTGGAAACCCTCTGGGGCAGTTCTCTATCCTATAGGGTCACTGTGATCAGAATTGACTCAATGGCAGTGGGGTTTGGTTTGGTAAAATAAGTGGAAGGGGTCTTAGGAGAACATGATTGTATTATACTATACAAAGATTTTATCTTTTTATGGGTGCTCTGGTAGCATAGTGGCTAAGGCACTTTGACTGCTAACCAGAAGGCTGGCGGTTCAAACCCACAAGCCACTCCTCGGAAGGAAGGTTGGGCAATCCTACTTCCGTAGTGATACTGCCTCGGAAACCCAAGGAGGGGTCGCTATGAGTCGGGGCCGACTCGACGGCAAATAACAACAACAACAACAACATTTATTTCTAAGTTGTTTGTAATGGCATTTGTTAGAATTTTTTTCTAGTCATGATATCAAAATAATTTCTCCCTTTTTTGAAGATTGTCTTTTTGTTTTTATTCATAATTCCTATAAAATCTTTTGTTCAAGCGCTTATTTATCTAAATGCCAACATTAACCTTCAGAGTACTTCATTCAAAGACCATGGTATTTGCTATCATCCTTTTTCTTTCAGTGTATCATTTTACTATAATATCCTTTCTTCCTTGAGTTGAGGAAGAAGTTGTCTTAATCACTTTGTGAAGTAGAGTCTGTTTTTCATAAATTAACATTTTTTTAAAATGCATTTTATTGAAATGTAATTTATGTACAGTGAAACACACAAAACTGAAATGACATGAGTCAGTGAATTTATTTATTTATTTTTTTTTGCAGTGTTCCCTCCCCTCCCCTCCACCCCTAGTAACCAACAAAGACAGTTTCCCTCCATATATAAACCTTTCCTTGACCCTCCACAACAACAAAGTAATAGAGTATCTGGCCTTCTGTGTTTGACTTATTTCACTCAACATAATATCCTCAAAGTTCATTCATGTTACACAGTGTTTTGCAGACTCTGCATTATTCTTTAGTACTCCATAGCATTCCATTGTGTGTATGTATCATAGTTTGGTCATCCACTCTTCTGTTGACAGCCACGTAGGTTGTTTCCATCTTTTTGCCGCTGTAAATATTGCTGCGATGAACATGAGCATGCATATACCTGTTCCTGTCCTGGCTCTCACCTCTAGGATATATACCTAGTAATGGGATTGCTGGGTCAGATAGTATCTCCAATTCCAGCTTTCTAAGAAATCACCAAACTGCTTTCCACAGTGGTTGTATCACCTCACAGTTCCATCAGCAGTATGAGAATCCCAGTCTCTCCACATCCCCACCAGCATTTGTTATTTTATGTCTCATTGAACTTTGCCATGAGTGCTGGGGTGAAATGGTATCTCATTGTTGTTTTGATGTGTATCTCTCTGATGGCCGATGATCGTGAGTGTCTTCCTGTATTTGCTGGCCACCTGAGTAACTTCCTTGGTGAAGTGTCTATTCATGTCCTCTGCCCATTTTTCATTTGGATTGTTAATCCCTTTGCTGTTGAGGCATTGGAGTTTTCTATAAATCACTCCCTTTGCTGTTGAGGCATTGGAGTTTTCTATAAATCTTAAACATAAGTCTCTTGCCAGATATGTAATTATCAACAAGTATGAATTTTGCTGTCATTTTGTTAAGTGCTTTTTTGTGGTGTTGATTTCTTTGTTCCATAAAATTTTCTGTGTTGAGCTTGTTTTGTTTTTGAATCAAGTTATCACTTCTTTCATTGCTATTGTTTTAGTATTTGCTGAATATTTGTGCTGGTCCTCTTTTTTATTTTAATGTGAAGGTTTATCGTTTTTCTTTGAGTTACCTTGTGATTTAGAGTTTTCTTTCCAACTTTAGAACAGTTCTTTCTATCTTGTAGTTGTCTTGACTTCCCTTCGATTTAGAAGTTTTGTAACTACACAGTTTTTCCCTCTTTTTTGGTTTGTAGTTGTCCTTATTTGATGTCTCTGGTTCCCTGTTTACAATCTGTAGGCTTATTACTTTGGATACTTCCATAACTGGGTTGCTTTCTGGGTTATGTCATCCTGTGTGTTAATGGTCAGTTGTTGTTGGCTGTTGTTGGTTCTCTGTCCAGATGACTCCCTATAGCATCTCTTGTCAGATTGGTCTGGTTTTAACAACCTCCCTTAATTTCTGTTTATCTGGAAATGTCCTAATTTCACCATCATATTTAAGGGGCAGTTTTACTGGGTACATAAATCTTGGTTGGGGATTTTTTTCTTTCAGGGTTTTATATATACCATCCTATTGCCTTCTCACCTGCATGGTTTCTGCTGAGAAATCTGAGCTTAGTCTTATTGATTGTCTCTTGTAGGTAACTTTTCGTTTTTCCTGTGCTGCTTACGGGAGCTCTGGTGGCATAGTGTCTGAAGCATTTGACTGCTAACCAGAAAGCTGGCAGTTCAAACCCACCAGCCACTCTTCAGAAGGAAGGTTGGGCAATCTACTTCCATAGTGATAACACCTCAGAAACCCAAGGAGGGGTCGCTATGAGTCGGATCCCACTCCACAGCAGTGGTTGCATTTTTGCTAGTTTCAGGATTCTTTCTTTGTCTTTGGTTTTCATGAGTTTGATGATGATATGTCTTGGGGATTTTCTTTTTGGGGTCTATCCTGTTTGGGGTTCATTGGATATATGAATGATGTATCAGTGCTTGAATGGATATATTCTCATGTTTCGTCGTACCAGGAAAATTCTCTTCCAACAAATCTTCGACAATTTTTTCTGTTGTTTTATTTGTTTCTTCCTGTTCTGGGATTCTGATTACACGTAGGCTATTCCTTTTGATAGTATCCCATGTGAACGCTAGGCTTTCTGCATTTTGCTTCAATCTTGTTTCTGATTGATCCCTTTCCAAAAAAGTATACAGGTATTTGCCTTCAATCTCACTAATTCTGTCTTCCATTGATTAAGTTCTATTCCTTTGTCCATTCAATGTGTTATCTATTTCTTAAAATTTAATTTTAATCTTCTGGATTTCTGACTGTAGATTTGATGTCATTTCTGATTTTTCACATATTTTGTCATTTTGTTCATGTGTTGTCTTTCGAAATTGTTCTAGGGTTTTCTCTGTGTTTTCCTCAATTTTGTCAGTGTTTTCCTTAATCTGTCTCTCAATTCGTTGAAGGTACCTAAATATAATTCTTTTGAATTCCTTATCAGGGAGTTCCAATGCAGTGTCTTCCTCAGGGATGTATTTTGGGTCTGTATCTTGGTCCTTTGTTTCTCCTGCTTTATCTTGCTTCTTTGTGTGGACTATGATGCTCTGTTACCTCCAAGGCATTTTGACGTTTTTGTGTTCATATTTAATTGTTGGTTGTATGTTGGAGTGACTTGCCCCACGATTTTTGTTTTCTTTGTATGTTATCTGCATAAGCAGGGTACTGTGCTGTGCTCCTCTATTCACTAGTTCAAGCACATATACACTCACCACCTGTCTCCTTTCCTGTTGTCAGCCTCCCATATGTCCCTGCCATCCTTGGCACACAGAGCCTATTCTTAGGTCCCTGGAATCCAAATGAGAATGCTGTCACTTTATAATCCAAAATGGCCACCACTTGCAAAGATTCCAAATGGCTACACCCTCAGTCACTTTAAATATCCAAAATGGCCGTCACTTGTAAACAATTCAAAATAGCCGCAACCTCAGTCACTTTAAATATCCAAAATGGCTGCCACTTACAAACATTCAAAATGGCTGCATCCTTGGTCACTTTAAATATCCACAATAGCCGCTGCTTGTAAACATTCTAAATGGCTGCACCCTCTGGACAGCCGAAAGTCCACAGTTCAGGTTGTCTCCCTCCTTGCTTCTTCCCTTCCGAGTCATAGGCCACCAGCACAGTCATCAGCCCTGGCAGCCCTTGGAGACCAGGGCTGATTTTTAGGTCAATTCTCAGGTCCCAACACCACTTGGAAATACTCAGGCTGTTGGTCCCATCAGAGTAGCTGACAGTGTACTGCTCCAGCCTTCTCCATACTCACTGTTTAGGTTTTTCCCCTAGTTGGTGCCTACTCCACTTCTGTATACTTCCTTTCAAAGCTCAGGCAGGACTCCAGGATTATCTTTTATATCTATGTCAGTGGTTTCTCTTTTCGTTGTTGAAGAGGGTCTGCAAAGTTTGTCTGCCTATTCCTCCATCTTACTGGAAGTTATAAATTAACATTTTGAAAGTTAATTTTTTTATTTACATATTCACAGTCTTATTTCAGACATATAAATGTAATCCATTAAGATTTATTTTCACTAAAATTGAGAGCACTTATATATGCCTTTCCTGATTCCTGCATCCTATCCTTTTTTTTTTTTCCCCCAGGAGAATGGTAGATTTAAGAGGGGGGCAGAAAAATCTATAATTTCTTTTTGTCTGCCAAGTAGAGAGTGTGCATTTGGGGGATTTTATTGGGTGAAGATTTACCTTTTAGATATAAAAAGAAAAAATCTAAGAAGTTTAAATTCTTATAATTCAGAGATGTTTAGTATGTTTTTTGGTGAATTTACTTTTGTATTTTATTGTGTTTTAAAAATATAATTGAATTTTGTTATACATAAAGTTTGTATTTTTTTCACTCCATTTTCCCATATTATTAAGTTCTTTCTGAACTTTTTCATGTAACAGTAATTCTCTTTTATAAACTTACATTTTGTGAATCTTGATTTGTGATTTTGATTTGTATTTCTTCTTACAATTACTTGGACACAGGTGAATGAAACAACTTCTTGCACATAGTATTAGATCTGTGATTTACCTGTTCATCTGTTTATTTGTATTTCCTATTTGAAAACAAGCTTTTACTTTATTGTGTTCACATATTTAAAAAGAGGCTTGAACTTTTACAACACAGTTTATTTTTTCAAAGTGTATATATATATATAT